AGCCCGCCCGCTCCACGGGCTGCGCCGTGGCCGCGCCGCTGCCCAGCCTGGCAGAGGAGCCCTACGGCCCAAGCCGGGCTTGTTGGCACAAGCAGTTTAACCGCCCTCCGATGAGGCTTTTTCCCATGAACTCGTCCAAGCTCTTTCCAAACGCAGCCTTCTAGCACCCACCGCATCCTGCGGAAAGGGGTCTGCAGCTCAAACGCGTGGTAGGTGAAGGACTGCTGCTCAGTTTTAACCAGCAGCTGCTAGTTAGGGAGAAAATCAGCATTAGTATTCCCTTGGCATCCTCCCTCTGCCACCCTTAAAGACCGTCCTCATATCCCTGTCGCTCATCTCTCTTCCAGAGTAGAGACGCGGTCGACGTAGCCATGCCTTCCCAGAAGCTGTTCCAGACCACGGAGGGATCCTGTTCTCTGCCCTGAGCCCTTCCCCTTTCCTCGCACTCCTTCCCGAGACAGAGGGTGAGAACTGCACACCCGCGGTGCGGCACACAGCCGATTTATGCCGTGGTGCTGGTCTCTGCTCTCCCGTTCTTTCCTTGAGCCTGGTTTGCTGCTGCCATCGCTGCTGTTCCCCAAGCAGAAATTTCTGCAGGACTGTTTCACAACGCAAAGGTCTCATTGCTAAGTGAAAAGAGTCAGCTAAGGGCTCATCTTTTGATATTTTCACATAAGCAACACTGTATTTATTGACACTGAATTTCATCTACCAATCTGACTCATAAGGTCCTTCTGCAATTCTTCACTCAGCCTTTATTATATTATTATTACACTGAATAACCACATCAGTGGATGTTGTCACCTTCTTGATTCATTACTTTTTCCCAATTATTTTTTAATATATTGGGCATCCAACTGTTGACGTCCCTCCACCAAAAAAAACCCTCCCTCTACCTCTTCCTTTCCTGTCTTTTAAACAGTTGTCTGTCCATGTGACATTCCCCCTTTTCCCACAGCAGCTTTTTTTCTTTAAGTGCCTTGAGCAAAGTCATGATCAAGCACATTTTGGAAGTTCAAGCAGATTGTACCAACCAAATCTCCTTTATCCTCTGCTTGTTGAGGCCATTAAAACAATTCCAATAGAATTTTGAAGCATGACTTCCCTGTACAAATACTGCATTGACTCCTCCCCAACATTAGACATTGATGCTGCATCATAGCATCTATGAATTTGCTAAGTGCAAGTGCTATGTTCACCCAGCTGCATGTTCCTGACATGAGCTGGATTTGCCACTTTGCAGCTGTGACAGAAATCTTTCTCCAGACTCTCCCAAAGGGTCTGGAAGCCCATGGGGTCCTCCTGGAACTGGCTTACACCAGGCAGATGTTCACCCGCTCCTGGTGACTCAAGATCAACCAGTGTGACCCAGCAGCAGGAACTCTTTCAGGCCCAGCATCCCCATCAGCTGCACAAGATGCCACGTGCATTCACAAAGACATGGCAGCACGGCTGGTGGCAAGGCCAAGCCAGCAGGACTGCACTGGCCTGAACAGCCAAATTCCGTCTCCCAAAAGCACATGAATCAGCAGATCCTCAAGCAGCTTGACAGGCATCACAGCTTAGAGATACACGGCTGTACAACAGGCTGTGGAGGTGCAGAATACCCTGATGCCAATCCACTGCACTCATTCTCTCTCCATACTCTTCATAGCCCAGCAAGTCTTTTCCCCCAGAAATCTTTTGGAGCTCCTCTTCCAAACAGATGTTCCTGTCTAGGAAACCTAACTCATCAAGCCTTGTTTCGGTCCACAGGTGAATCAGGGGTGTGTACAAAGGAAGAATATTCCATGCTTCAGAGAACCAAGGAATACAAGATATAGATGCATGGGTTTTTCCCCCGCAGGAAACATCTCAGATGAAGAGTATCTCCATCAGGATAAGTCCTTGAAAAGTCCGCTCATTTACCAGTAATGCACAGGCCTGCTCCAAGATAAATGATCACATCCTCTAACCCTGTGCTTTTAAATACTTGCCCGTATGAGGATATCCATGTCAGCCTGGTTTCTTTAAGAGGGGAAAGGAGGTCTTTTACAAGAGGTTCATCCTCTAAAAAAACATATAGGCTATATGAAGCAGAGCCGCCATTTTCAAGTGGAACTGGTTCCTTTCTGACACACCTTACAGAAAGGGAAGATCTCTGTAAGTTACAAAGATCTTCTGCCAGAATCGTTGATCACACAACTCCCCACACCAATCAGGAAAAACTGTTCTGCAGGCAGTGACATGCTTACTGCAGTCCCCTTGGGACCTAAGAGTCAAAAACCCTGTAGCCACTTCCCTTCTCTGGCACAAGGACAGTCTGGAATCAAAGGTTACACACTGAAGTCAGAACCTGTGTTATTTCACCAAGCCCTTTCAGGATGTCCAGGCAACTTGTTACTTTTCATTCGGTTGATGGTCTAACAGATACCTAATCTAGTGGGCATCTTCCCTCCCCACCTGCTTCACACCTTCATCCCGTCCCCTTCCCTCCCCATTCACTGGTATCAGGATTGCCCTGATCACCCACCATCCTATTTTTGCAGACTCTTTAGCTCAAGTCTCACCCTTCCATCATCTGCTGCTCAAGAGGAATCTACCCATTGCCCCATCAGGGCTTCCTCTGCAGTCTACCTTTATCCTCGTTTCTCCTTGCAGCAATATTACAAACATTAGGACTAACCATGGCCATTTTCCCTGCTCAGTGCTGCAGAAGCGTTTAAATGCTATAAGACCGCACTTCAGTTTGCTAAACATGATTACTGGTAATGCAACGGAAAATTGGCATGACAAATAGCAGCCTTTTGAAAAGGCAAGGAAAAAAAGAGTCAATACTTCTGCCCTTTTCAATGGATTACCTTGAATAAAAAAAAAGTATTCCTTATGTCCCATTTTATATTCATCAAAAACTGTACAGTTCATTTAAAGCAAATAATTGAATGTTTCCTTAAAAAAAGTATTACCTGTTACAGGAAAATTTCATTAGGTCCTGCTTGACTTAAGGGAATTTTAGGCTGCCTGAACAGAAAAGTTAACAGTATAACCATGAATTAAGAGTTGCGGGTTGACAGTGTGCCTACCGAGCGAAGCTTCCAGCAGGAAGCTTCAGAAGTTTTTTGTCATTTCCCAAGATGCTTAAAGCCAAAGTACGAAAACCCACCCAAATACTAATAACTAAGAACTTCCTGTGCAGATATTAGAAACATAATATAATATTGGAAGTCCACAGCAGTTCAATTTTTCTAACAAATTGAATACAAGCAAGTCCAACATTGCAACATGAAGTGGCAAAGTGAATCCTGATTGAAAATTTAAATTCTTAACGGCTTTTACAAAAAAATTTTAAATACCTATTTCACTAAGCACTCCGAGAAAGGCTCTGCATTAAGCATTCAGCAGCTCACATTCTTCTACTGTGAAGTAAGACTAATACCTGGCACTAAATTATCCATTTAGTTCTTCAGGAAACTCAGTGGATATTCCTTATGTTTCTAAGGCAAAAATGAAAAAGAAAAAACTTTCAGAATATACATGACAAAATGTCTGAAAAGAAAAACAGGCATGTACTCTGCAAGTCAAATCCTCCTCCCAGATTATTTTTACTCATTACTACACAAAAAAAAAATCAAAAAGTGATTCTTGGATTGATGGTATCTCTTAAAAAAAATGAATAAATAACTCAAATTACCAAATATTAGATCATTTAAACATATCTGCACATCACTATAGTATTTGCTATGCTTACAGGGAAGCCACAAGGGCAACCACATCCACACACAGCTGACTACCTGAGCTTCCCTACAACTACTTTATATATACAAACGTTTCATAACAAGAAAGCTAATTCAGCTTTCTAAAAATACTGGTTGCTTAAATCAGAATCTCCAGCAGCCCTTTGCTGAAGGCAGCGACACGCTATAGCTTGCCTGTATGCACAGATCCCAGATGGTCCCCTACACTCCGCTCCAGTTCCTGGTGCACTGGTTCCTACTGAGTAGGTATTTCCAACGTCCAAGTGTGACTGTGCTCTGAAAGCAGCTGGAAGGGAACGGGAGAAAGCTAGAGAGTAGACAATGATTCATTCCAACCTTTACTTTGTGTGCCTTTTTTTTTTTTTTTTTTTTTTAAATATAACTTCCATGCAGAGTTCTCCAGAGTAACTGCTGATGTCGGAGCCTGCCTTCTGGCCTTGGCACAGCCACAGACACTTCTAGCCACATGGGAGGAAAAGCTTTTGCTACATGACTTTTTTTTTTTCTTTTTTTTTTTCCTTTTTTTTTTTTTAAACTTTTAGGCCAACAATGTGTTCTCATCTGAACATTACAGTTAATGAGTCCTATCAAGAATTTCTAACAAAAACTGTACATGAGTTTACAAACGTATTAACATATAAATAATGAGAAGCTTCCTGCCTGGAGCCTCCACAGTAGTCTTTTTGCTTGAGAATATAATACTGGAAGGGTAGACCCAATCCCTTTCCACAGCACCAGTCAGAGCTGGCTTAGTCCAGTCAGCCGTTCTGCTCAAGCATCACAGGGTTTTTCTTCTTCAGTGCCTCTGGCTTCAATAAGCAGTCTGTCATTACTGTGCAAAAGCAAGAGTCCAATGCCTTTGAGAAGGAATCCTGCTGCTAAGAGGCCTGTGCCACCCGGTCATCGTTCTGGTCCGAGCTCTTGCTGGAAGGTCCGTTTCTTCTCCCGACAGTGTTTCTTGTGAGCAGGCCAGTCTTTTTGCTGGCATTGTGACCCACAGTACCTCGCTACCTGGCATCGGCCACAAATGTTGAATTCACGTAACTAGGAAGAACACAAGACAACGTTAGGGAGCCTGCTCAGTGCCAAGGAGCGCCCCTACATCATTTCCCAAGTAGGCTTATGATCAAGTCTTTTGCACCTATCACAAATATGAACATCCCACCATGAGCGTCAGAGTATCAAAAAGTTTTGAAGTAATTGCATTTGCTGATTTTGCAGTTGCTCTTGCAGAATCGTATTACGGGCTTAATAGACAAAATATTTGAGCACTTCACTTTTATTCTCACACTGCTACTGTTTTGCCAACTTAAGTTGTTTACAACTACAAACATCTTAAATTCAGAAATGATTAGGAGGGCTGCACAAGCTCAGCCACTGCCAAACTTATGGTTATCCAGGAAGCTTTTGTATGCAGACCAAAATAAAAGGTAAAGCTCAGTCTTTTTCAAATGGAGGGCATTTAAGACCATTTTCGCAAACGTTCCCTTCACCAAAGAAAAAAGTGGAACACAATGATTTTAGCTTACTCAGCATTTGTTATCACACGAAAAGCTCTTCTCATTCATTGATAAGGACTTCTGTCTGACAAAGAGGCACAAGCCCTTGGATATCCCATTCTCTGCCATTCTGACTATGTATGCTGCTTCATTTCATCTACCTACAGCAAAGAACTAGAACCAGCTTTCCTCCCAGTTCTCCCCTAAATAAAGGCCACTCAAATCCACCCTCTTCTCATGAAAGGTCAAGCATGTTATTTTTTATTCCATTACCACCCAAAACCTCTCACAATGCTTCCTCCTGCTGTCTTATACAGCTGCTTGCTCATTCCAGCTCTGGGTTCCTAGAGGAATGCTTCCACCTGTCCTTTCATACACTCAGCAGAAATTACACTCCTCCCAGTAAACCACTAGGTCATTCATTGTCCCAAGTCAAAACTATATTCTCACAAACTGAAAATTATCACAGGATCTGAAGATTCATGCGAAAGAAAACCCGAGTTAAAAAGAGTTATCGCTTTTAGCAACTGAATGGCACGTGTAAAGCTTTACATTTTAAGGGACGAATCCCTGGATGCATGTGGTAGCCCGAGTCATGACGTGCTTACTTTCACCTCTGCTGAACACACCTGTTTTTCAATCATTGTGCATGGGGGGTAGTGACATTCATAATATGTGCATGAGTTCTCTTCCTCCTCCACAACATCCCCGTTAGCGTTGTAATATCGTGTTACATTCAGTACAGGAAACTGCTCTTCTATAGGATCTGTAGGAAGCTGTTGGATTGCCAGCCAATACAGACTTTGTTCCCTATAAAAAACAAGTAGAAGTTTAGTCCATAAGTTCATATTAAGCATACAGGGAAATCGATTCTAAATTCATTAACAAAGTAGGTAGGGTTAACATTGTATTTAGCCTGTTAAGACTCACACTACGTATACTTCTCAAATCTTTTTAGCATTATTTTAGCCTAAATGCAAAAAAGTTAGAAAGTATCTATCAAGAAACATCTACATCCAGCAAAATTATTTCTGTGTAAATGGCTTGAAGTCTGTTTCTTGTTCTTGAACTCCCAGAAACATGCTAGGATAGCATCACTGCCATTCACTACATCTCCTCAAAATCAGTCTAATAAGCTCTGAACATCCCTATCTTATGGATGCTGCAGAAAAGTGTCTAGTGTGATGTTAAGTCTATGAGTCTCCCACCAAAAATGAACACACCAGCATTACATCATACATTTAACAAATCCATCCTGACATTGAGAGTTTGATGTGCTTTGAGTAACATTAGTGCGACATGGCATGTAGGAAGTTCCCACAACCTACTACGTGAAAGGTGATAGAGGCTGATCCCAGGACCTCATTTTGTTTTCAACCCAAATATACGATTACAAGTGTAAGCATTTTGCAGCTGCTGCCTTCTACAGGTTATGCTAGAATTTCAGTGCCTGAGGACAAGAGCCACAAGCCAGTAAAATCTGCAGACTGAATTCAGTGTGCCCAGATGCCATTACTCAAGCAGAAGGGCTTACTGTTTTACTGCGGTGATAACGTCTGGCACAGCAGGACCTCTGCATAATACCATGGGCTTAGATGGTCCCTTCACAGCTAGCATGAACAGTGAGCATTAACTCTGTTCCCCAGGTGAGGAAGCTAAGACGTATAGCGACATGTAAGTAGCCCAAGGTCAAGTAAAAAAGGCTCTGCCAAGACGAAAATCACTAAAGGAAGGACACACAACAATTTAAGATATTTTCAATTTTTTTGATGGCAACCCCCTGCCAAGTATTGACGTACCTTTGTTTACTAGAGATTTCTTCAGCTTTGGGTTTCCAACCCCAAGGAACTAGGCGCAGATTGTCTAGGCGGTTGTCCACTGTCACTGAATTCAGATGTACCACCTGAAATCCAGGAGCAATCCCTCCCCGGTGTCTCTCCCTGGAGGAGACAAAAACAACTTGAAGGTCAGTGATGAACAAGACTCCATAGCTAAAAAGCAAAGGATCATACTAATTCCAGAAGATACGCTGCATTCTAGCCTGCTGTCTGGTGTCACTGAAACAGTCGCAGTAAAACTTGGATTGCCAACAGACTACAGTGGCTACTTCAGATATATCAACTCCCAGAAGAGACTTGTTCCAGGAGGTTATTTCCATTATTAATGAGTTGAATCAAAAGACAATCATGGTATATTTTAATTGTAAGCATATTGCAAAGAAAGTTCCAGAGACTACTACTCCAGTTACTGCAAGAGCATCTATGTAATTATTGTGTTCCACAAAGCAGACTTGAAAGGTGCCAATATTGGTTTATTATTTTAACAGGAAATTCTATCAGACACATTTATGCAAGTTTGGCACTGGTGTGATGTCACAGAATTTGTTATTTATGAAAAAATATCTCTTAACAAGCAACAGGACAGAAGTTTCACCAAGTATGCAAATGGTTTTTAGACTCTAATTGTGCGTAACACATAGAAAGCCTGCAATGGCTCCACAATTGACCAAGAGACATCTACTGAAACTTGCTCAAAACCAAAGCAGGACTATTAGCAAGGAGGATGGTTGCACATTAAGTCCTACTGCGATTCTTCCCTATTGCCTTCTAACAGTTCTCATTTCCCATTCCACCTTCTTTTCATCTCTCCTTTCTCTACTTTATGAAGTATCAAGTTCACTGTCAAGCACCCTTGCCTGGATAAGTTTCTGTATCACTTCTTGCAGGAATCCCCATCCCACCTGAAGTATAAGGCTTGGACAGAAATCGCGTCTCGGTATGTTTGCTATGCCATGATTAATTTCACAGCACAGAGAGAACATACTGGCAACAATCAAGAAGGACAACGTAAAACTGACCGCACTGTACGAGGGTTACCCAGCATTTCCTTCTAGGAGACTGTTCCAACAGCTACTTACAACTTTACCCAAGTCTAGTTTGGATGCTGCTTCCAACTTAAGTGTTTACTGAACATTTCAGTTCAAATGGCTCATCCAATTTTGAAGAGATACGATTTGCTCAAGTTAAAAAATTCCCACTTTTTTCTTCCCTTTACAAAGCCCTCGCATTATCCAGCAGAACAGGGAAATTCATTTCAATGTGACTGACAGTGATAAATGTAGTCTTTTGTTTTCTTTGTCAAAATCTGTCCAGATATGGTTAAATTACACACCGTGGGGGAAAGAAAAACGCTTGCAATTCTCATATGCCCCCAAACTTCCTAGAATTTACTTTAAGGAATTAAAGTAAAATTCCTTTGGAGAGGCTACACGCAGCACCCACACACAGCTCGTGCTCCAACTCATAGGCAAAGCAATTCTTCCTGTAACGGCAGCCCTGCACGAGAACAGAGTATGGAGCCTCCTGCTAGGGAGTCTTTTGGGCCTCCACAGAACAGGGAGAAGCTCTCCCCTTTGAAGGTAAAAAGAATAAAATCCTTCGGGGGGGGCGAGCGGGGAAACAACCACACAAAAGCAAACAAACTATGGAAAGGAGTCTGCTGAAATGCCCTAAAGGAGGAAAAGCTACTTTTGAGTTGTTGAAGGCTACCGGAGGGTCTGGCACGGAAATCAGGAATCCTGAGGGCTACAAGTGGGAACCCAGAAGGTACATGGACCCAAACAGATGGAGGTGAGCATCAGTCGGATAAGGAGTCAGGGAAGGAGTTAAGGTTCTTAGACTGAAACTGAGACAAAGTGCCAAAAGAGAGATGGGATAGATATGAACGAGGAATCTAGGAGGAGGAGACAGAAGTTCAGAGCAAGAGCAAACTGTGCAGGGGAGAAAGGGAGGAGGGGAGTCTAAGACCCAGCTGAGAAGTATTTTTGAAATGGATTAGATAATGAGAGTTTAAGAAAGGCTGGAGTTGGGGAAAGAGAGAGGATTACGAGATTGTTCGTGACACCAGAAGCCACAGCAGAGTGGCACATGCCTACCACTGCTCCGACAAAGTCTAGGTCTGTACCCACAACCCTCCATAAGCAAATATTCCTAAAATTCACTAGCACAGCGAGCCCACTTTCCTCAATTTGTATAAGCCCACATTCATCTACATTGCTGTCAGTTCTTCTATTACCTCAACTGACAAAGGTCTTCAAGTAAACGTGGAAATTGGGTCTTGCTGATGACCGGTAAAAGTGTTAACACAAGACCCCTTGACTGAGATGCCAGAATTAGCACTAGCAAATTCAGGATGGTCCCTTTTCACCATACATAATCAAGCAACCTTTGAATGCACAAGCATGTACTACTTCTCTCCCTAGACCTGTGCTTCAAAAGTGTGCAGCATGGACCATCTCCAGAAGTTAATCAGAAATGTGCAGTGAAGGACATGGAAGAAGGCTCATGGAAGAATCTGCCTTCTCCTTGCAGAAGGAGACAGAGAAGAAACAGCCTCAGTAACACAGCCAACTCTCCTGCAGAGCCATAGCTTCTACCTCCGCCACCACACCTGAGTTCCTACAAGATGCCAGGCAAAACACTTAAACCAAAACTTTTCAGAGAATTAACTGGATACTGTTCTTTTTGTATTTCAGCAGCTAACTTGAGAAGTGAGGCCCGTAATAAAAGTGACAAGTACAGACAACAGCAATTCGAGTCAACAGGAGCCATAACTGAGTAGGTTATAGGCAGTATGATGGTAAGTGCTCTAAAAAAAAAAAGAAATTGGGTTTTAGATGTCTTTTTGAACACACAGTTAGTGATACTTATGACTAATCTCCTGATGCTGCTATTCCCCAGGGAATATCACTACACCCAGCCAAAATACAGCAAGCTGGGATTTCTATACAGGGAACAGGGCGAGAAGATGACAGACTTTTTCTGCAGGTCCCTAGCCAGAGACATTCAAATCCTGCTTTGGAGGAGCTAACAGTCCACCCTGGAAACACAGCAAGCACAAGAGAAGCTGCATGAAGTTCTTCCTGAAAGAATATTTGCAGCAAACGTGGGTATTTTTCAGATCTTGGTTCCCATTTAGTAGGGCAGTTCACTCTCCGCAGAGGTCAGCAGGAGGGCTTTGGGCGAAAAGTGGGAGAAGGTCCGTGTCATTGCTGCAGCTTCAGTAGCTACCAGCTTCCTCTTTTGAGGGCCATACTATGTGAACGATACCTGCTTAACAAAATTTAAAAAAAAAAAAAACTTAAAAAATTTAAAATCTGCTTTGCTTGCAATGGCATCTAACACATGCTTACTCACTTTGTCTTAAACAGAAGCACACAATCATGTTAGTTTTTTCAGAGTAAGCCGATTTTTTGGGATATGTTTGGGAGAGAACAGTTAAATTACACTCCTATACCTGCAGTAATTCAAGTTCTTTGCTTTTCATTTACCCAAGAAGTAAGGCTGGCACTGGAGTAATGACTGCTACTGCCCATCTTTCCTGTCTTTCAAAGACTCCTAAACCTTCAGCATCACTCCTTCTCGCAAAAGGAAGGACCTGCCACTAAAATACGTTTCTGTTTTGTTTTCAACGCAGTCCCCAGTGCAGGCAAGTAAAACTGAACACTGCGCCTGTTCTGTTTAGGAGGAACACATACGTAGCACCTGTAGCCAAAAGGCTTTCTAAAGACTTTAGGAGACTCAGTCACAAAGGTATACTAACCTGCATTGTGTTAGCTTGTAATTAAAGATCACAGCAAAATGTACACCCTCAAAGGGATCAAACTGAATTTACAGAAACAGCTGAAATATTTTGTATTTTCTAGTCGAAGAATTTGACTTTGCAACTTCAGAACTGCAGCTCCGCTTGCCTGACAGTTTACGCCCCACCTTTGTGACTTTCAAAAATCCCTATTACACACACAATCTCAGATTTTTTAACACCAGTGCATGCTAGAGCGACACAACTTAAATTACTTAACTGAATATGTTAGAATTATTTCCTAGTTTAAGTAAAACAAACCAGAAGACGCAATGACTGGGCTGTGTAATAAGCAAACAGCTGGACTGCCATCATCTACACAGTCTTCAACAGTCAGCTGGAATAATTTTAAGGTCCTGTTTAGTGCTACTTAGAGACAACAATTATTACTGTATGAGGTTCACAGTTAGCAGTAGCTGACAGTGATTCACCCCACATACTGTAGCCAACTTCGTAATAATTTGCAAAGTTATATGTGCAACAAGATTAAACATTAACAGATGCAGGTTAAAATCCATAGTTAATTAGCAGATTGTAAATAATAATAACGGTCTCTGATATTCTTCCTTTCTTCCTCCTCTTGTACAGAGACTAGTTTGGAGAGTAAAAAGTAACCTGGAACAACAAAGAAAGCACAGCTATATCTTGGGCACTGTGACTACTAAGTACAGTTTATGGAACTGAATAGAAAACATGCTTAATTTCTCAAAAAAGAAATAACAGTTCTCTTCAGCATATCCTATCTTTTCTACAAAACCCATGAGCATAACTGGAAAGAGCAATGTATTAGCTCACCAGATGAACTAATCCCTCACAATTGAGTAAGTTGGCCCCTGAATAATCTAAATTGGCAGCTACAAAGGATATCAAGCAATGACTCTTAGAATATGGAAAATAAGACGTAGCAGCTGATATGAAGCACCATCAGCACCGCTTGAGGCAGATTTCCAGAAGGCCAAACAAAAAACCCCGAAGTTTTAAGTTATCAGAGGTTCTCCCTCTCGCCAGTGCTCTGCCAATCCTCACTGGTGCCAATAAGATGTACCTGATTATTACGGGACAAAAAAAACCAACCACACTAACTCAAAAGGTTAGTCTTCACCTGTTAAATGGAGCCAGTCTCCTGCTCCCCCACCCCTGAACGGAAGTTTTAGTAGCATTTCTCAGATTTAAACAGTCTCTACTAGAATACTCCTCACCTATCACTGTTTTCCCTGGGAACAACGTTTTTACAGAGACTCAGCTGTTTGAAGGCTCAGTGCAAAACCAAACCGTAATAAGATCTATCAGCACCCCCTGTGCTGGGTTTCCAACTGAGTGTAGCTGCAAGCCTCCCGAGAAGACTTAAGATACTACAGGCAGAGAAATAAACAACATACAAGCTGGTGGCAGCAAACTCCACCTTAGCGAGCCCTTGAAGTATTTAGCTCTCCTTACGATACCTACCAAAGCAGCTCATGCAGGAGACGGCCGGATCCCCTTCCACGATTTTTGTCGAATGCATAAGCAAATATTTTAGCACCATTTCCATCAGCATCTACCTCCATCCGAGCCTAGAGAAAAGGGAAAGGCTTTGAGAACATCCATCACCGAGTAGCAGAGCACATGCTCCACTGGGATACGGGAAGGACCCAATATTTAACACTTGTCTCCTAGAGGTCACTTGACCTTAATGGAATTTGAGTTGTTTCAAACCTCCAAGGGGAACCAACCAGCTCTGCTATTGTAGTTTATGAAGATGGGAAAGGGAAGAAAGGAGGCTGCGCACAGCAGGAGTCCCACTTGGACAAAGAGCAGCAACAATCCAGTTGTGAGCCTGTAGGGCCAGGATCCATTCTCCGCTCTGGCGCAGATTTTCTGTACAGCCATCAGCAAGCCACCAAGGCTTTGTTTTCAGTGTTGCTTTACACCAATCTAATTAGGGGTTGCTAGTGAAAGGAGTGGTCCTGCCCTCTTTTCTCCACTCCATAACTTTGTGTTGGCTCTAATGCTCACGAACTGTAGGAAGGACTAGACAAATTTAGGATACTCGCAGTGTATTACCACTCTTGGTGACGGTACACGTTTACAGTGAGCTACCACAGAGGAGGAATGGGCAAACACGGTGTTTTCTGGTAGCAGCATTGCCACAGCACTTCAAACTCCTAAGAGCAGCTCTGAAGCTGTGCTACAGGCACTAAGCAGAAGATGGTCCCTCATCCAAAAAAGCCTTAATTTTAGAAGATTTTGTAATCAAGAATTCTTTCCCTTTCAAAGCCTTGGTAGAATCCACTTACCCTCTTTCAGTAGATGTTAAAACATTTTTTCTGGTCCCATAGTAAGTTACAATAAAATAAGTTTTTTCTCATCCAAGACTTATGTGCAGAGTGAAAATTTTTAAAGTTTGCCAAACCAAATAATGGAAGACAAATTATCGGTTCTCAAAAAGTATACAAATAGAAAGTTGAAAACAAAAAACTATATAATAAATTAGTTTGTTTTAAACTAAAGCTCGTTTAAAATGAAAAAACAGAGCTTTTCCTGCTTGAAAGCATCCACATTGGTATTTCAATGACTTCAAACTTTTTTTCCCCCCAAAGCAGGAAAGTTGTGGGGCAGAGCACTTCCATCAGCAGTTTTATTTAAGCATGTCACACAGAAAGAGAAAAAAAAAAAAAAAAAAA